GAGAGAGAGGGAGACACAGACTCGGAAGCAGGCTCCAGGCTCTGAGCCATCAGCCCAGAGCCCGACGCGGGGCTCGAACTCACAGACCGCAAGATCATGACCTGAGCCAAAGTCGGATGCTTAACCAGCTGAGCCAACCAGAGCCCCTCCCCGGGTCCCTATTCTAAAAATAATTTTTTTTAACATATATAATAACTTTCACTTTTTCTCTCAGCAACTAATGGGATCTTAACTAATGCAGTGAATCTCGGGGACAGATAATTTTTAAGAGGTAATTATTTCAGTCTTTCAATTTATAAGTAGGATCCAATAATCAAGACAGTCTCATTTCAGGGGTAGCAGAAAATGTCTTCTCTCCCCTCTTCTTCGAAGATAACATCTGAGTATACAGAAGTGTATTTCCGAGCAAGACTTACTTGATGGGCCCCAGGCCCAGAAGGACCCACATTTAAAGATCACCATTCTGAAATCTGTAATAATTTTATCTTTCAACTTGTGTTTGCTTAAGATTTTTTTTTTTTAAGATCTTATCTTTGGGGCCCCTGGGTAAGTCAACAGGTTGAGCGTCTGACCCTTGGTTTCAGCTCAGGTCATAATCTCATCCTCCATGAGATGGAGTCCCACTTGAGATTCTGTGACTCCCCCGTTCGCCAATGTGCACTCTCTCTCTCTCTCTCTCAAAAAAAAAAAAAAAAATGCTTTAAAAAATGTTTTATTCTTAAGTAACATCTACACCCAACATGGGGCTTGAACTTACAACCCCAAGATCAAGAGTCACATGCTCTACCAACTGAGCCAACCAGGCACCCCTTTTTTTAATGTTTTTTAAGAGAGAGACAGCAAAAGTGGGGGAGGTGTCGGGGCGAGGGGGCCAAAGCATCCGAAGCAGGCTGTAAGCTAACAGCACTGGGCATTATGCGATGTCAACACGAATAATAAAATTCGTGCCGGTAACTTAAAATTTTAGTTTTTCTTCATTTAGAAAGACACAAAATAGCAAACAATATACTCTATGACGAGTTGAGAGAGGTAGACCGTGGAGATATGGAAAAGGTTTTGAATGGCACTTCCCCCCTGCTTTTTGAACAAGAGTTCTTGTGTTTCCCTCCCGCATTGGACCTTGCAAATTGTATCCAGCTCTGTTCCTGGGACTTTTTGGTGCAAATACAGATGGAAGTTCTGATCGAGTGGCAGGCTCTGCCTTGGTCTATGCTGCCACGGTTTGCTTCCTGGTCTGGGGTTCGCTGAGGTGTCCTCTGGCATTGTGGAGCATATTTTGTTCCTGATAGTAGGGTCACGATGCTGGTTTTTGTCCTGGTTCTCAAAGGCCACCAGGAGTCTGCATCCCAATCTCAGGCTGGTCCTGATTCTCCTAGCCCTTCTATGACTGCTCATCAGGCTGAACGGAAGCTTCTAGGCTTTCTGATCACCACGCCAGGCTTATTTTAGCTCAGGCTCTCTATTCAGGTACCTCCTTGTGCCAAACCTTCCTTATGGCTCCGGTCCCACACTGGCTAAATTGGGAACGTCTCCAAGAACAGTGGTTTTGAACCCTGGCTACACATTAGGCTTCCCTGGGAGGCATTTGCTTGCTTGTCCTTTCCTAATAATACGGCTGCCAGGAATTAGTATGCTGATTTTCTTTCCTTTTTTTTTTTTTTTTAATTTATTCTGAGAGACATAGAGAGAGCAAGCAGAGGGGATGCAGAGAGAGGGGGAGACGGAACACCAAGCAGGCTCTGTGGTGTCAGCACAGAACCCAAAGAGGGGCTCAGACTCACAAGCCGTGAGATCATGACCTGAGCTGAAGTCAAGAGTTGGACGCTTAAGCGACTCAGCCATCCAAGCGCCCCTCGCATGCTGATTTCCTAGGTCATTGTCCCGCTTTCTGTCTCCCAGTCTTCAACGGTGCTGGTGGGTGGGATGGGCTTTCCCCCTTTGCACAGGCAGGGACTTGCCCTAAATTATATCCCCATTTCCCCGCATCTATGGGGAGCCTATCAAAATTAGTAGTCCTCAGATCATCACGTCACCTGACGAGGAGGCCACAGCCCAGAGGCTGCGCTGAAGATTTAGGCATGATGGTGCCTCCTAGTTGGAACATGCAGAGAGAGAAGGGAGGAGGCCCCAAGTCTAAGTCATGAGAATCCCCATTTCCTCGCTGGGTGCAGGATGAGCCTCTAAAGATCCGGGGAAAGTACGGCTGGACAGCCAGCTTCACTTCTCACTCTGTTCATGGAAGGTCTTTGTGAAAATGCCTACTGTGAACACCTGTGAGTGGACATCTACCCTTGACTCTGGTACTGGGGAAGCAGCACGGCAACACGGTCGACAAATGAATCCTGGCTCTGCTAATGGTCAGTGATCTCAAGAAAGCGAGCCTCCTTCTTTCTGCTGGTCAGCCAGCCTTAAAAGGCGGGTGCCGCTGTAGGGACTCAACTCACGGCGTTCTTAGGAATATTACCTGCATTGGTATTCCTAAGTTGCTTGAGAGAGGCGAAGTGCAAACACCATGCGAGAGTGTGTGAAATAAATAAACACAAATACAAATTGGACAGCACTTCTGTTTTCCCTTAACGACATAAAATACAAAGCTAATAAAAAACACATTCAGAGGGTTTTTGTGTTGCACAAGGTACCACAATGATTTACGATTCTAGTAAAGAAAATAAGAGGCATGAACCAAATACCAGGAATACATGTAAATAATGGAAACCTTCCATGATTTCAATAATTACATGCCAACACATAATGAAAATATAGCCTGGGTGGGTGTTAATTTAAGTACTGTAAAAGTGTGGTCGCTGATGTGCTTGACTACATTGTTACAAAAGTATTTATCTTCTAAAAATTAAGCAAAAATGTTATTTTATTTTATTTTTCTTTATAACATAAAGAAAACGAACTTAAATATTTGGGCTCACAGAATGGTGAAATTAAGCTTAATCACATGTAAACGTTATCTTATGAATGTTTCTTATTTATTTTTTTTAACGTTTATTTATTATTGAGAGATACAGAGAGACAGAGCATGAGCACGGGAGGGACAGAGAGAGAGACACAGAATCCGAAGCAGGCTCCAGGCTCTGAGCTGTCAGCACAGAGCCCGACACAGGGCTCAGACTCACAAACTGTGAGTTCATGACCTGAGCTGAAGTCGGACACTTAACTGACTGAGCCACCCAGGCGCCCTCTATGAATGTTTCTATACACTGAAAAATCCAATTTTTTCCTAAAACGGAAGAAGAAATACATGGTCACCTTTGGATTTGAACTAATTTCCTACAATTTGAAGTACATGAAAAATAAACAAATAAAAATAAAGTTTGAATAAAAAGAACCATTCAGGGATGAAGAACTCAGTAACTGAAATTAAAAGGACACTAGAGGTTAGAATAAATAGTAAATCAAAAGAAGCAGAAGAACGGATCAGCAACCTGTAGGACAGAGTGATGGAAAGCAACCAAGCTGAACAGGAGAGAGAAAAAATAATAGAGAACTCCTGTCAAAAAGTACCCAAGGTGTGGGGTGCCTGGGTGGCTCCATCGGGTAAGCATCCGACTTCAGCTCAGGTCATGATCTCACAGTCTGTGAGTTTGAGCCCTGCGTCGGGGTCTGTCCTGACAGCTCAGCTCGGAGCCTGGAGCCTGCTTCCGATTCCGTGTCTCCCTCTATCTGCTCCCGTCCTGCTCGTGCGCTCTTTCTCTCTCTCTCAAAAATAAATAAACACGAAAAGAAATTTAAAAAAAAATCTACCCAAAGCAGTGCACACCAAGACACAAGTAATTAAAAAGGCCAACAGTAGTGATAGAGAATTTTCAAGCAGCAAGAGAAAAGAAAGCAGATATCTACAAGGGAAACCCCATAAGGTTATCGGCTGATTTTTGAGCAGAAACTGCAGGCCAGAAGGGAATAGCAGGATATATTCAAAGGGCTAAAAACAAAAACAAAACACAAACAAAAACCTGCAACGAAGAATATTCTATCCAGCAAGGCTCTCACTCAGAATAGAAGGAGAGATATAGGGTTTCCCAGACAAAAGTTAAAGGAATTCATCCCCAGCCCTACAAGAAATGTTAAAGAGGACTCTTTGAATGGAAAGGAAAACCCATAGGAAGAAAAGTAGAATGTACAAGTATTTTTTACATCCAAAAAATAAATTGATGAAAGGTATGACACTACATACCTAAATTGGGAGAGGGAGTAAAAATTAAGTCCTTTTAGAATGGGTCCAAAGTTAACCAACTTAACAGAGACTGCTATATGTATGTCAGATACAAACCTAATGGTAACCACAAATCAAAAAATCAATAATAGACATGCAAAAAATAAAAAGAAGTAAAAGTATATCACTAAAGAAAGCCAGAAAAATGTGAGAGGAAAGAGTCAAAGAAAGGAGTAGAGAAGAACTACAAAAACCGTAAACAAGTAACAAATGACAATAAATGGATATCGATAATTACTTTGAAAGTAAATGGACTAAAGCCTCCAATGAAAAAATATAAATAGTTTGTATGAAAGCACAGAACACCCCAAACAGCCAAAGCAATCTTGAAAAAGAAAAAAACTGGAGGTTATCCAAATCCCAGCTTTCAAGATAAAGTACAAAACTGTATTAATCCAAGTGGTGTGGTACCGGCACAAAAACAGACACATGGGTCAACAGAACACAATAAAGAGCCCAGAAATAAACCCACATTATATGGTCGG